GTGCAGTCTCTCCGCCGGGACCCAAAGTACAAGGAAACCCGCCCTCACCTGTCCATGAACCCTTCTCTGCGGCCCGCTCATTTCGTTGCAGGCTCTCTGGCCGGCCCGGAGAAGGTCACCGTTCCCCCGTATATGTGGACGGCGGCTGAGAAGCTGAAGGACAGCGGCCGGTGGGCGGGACGTGTGATTTCAGTGTTCCATATCGGGAAGCAAATGTGCGGGCACCCAGGATTCGTGCATGGGGGCTTGTTGTCCGTTATGTTCGACGAGGCATTTGCGCGGTGCGTGTCGGCGTCGTTTCCGAGTGGACTAGGTATGACGGCGAACCTCAATGTGGACTTTCGGAAGCCAGCCGTCCCTGATCGGCTGTACGTGTTGCGGGCTGATACGGTTAATGTTGAGGGGAGGAAGGCTTGGGTGGAGGGGAGCTTGAGCTCGTTGCCGCCTTCTGGGGAGGAGAGTGATCCCGTTATGGTGGCTGAAGCTAGGGCTTTGTTTGTTGAGCCCAAGTTTGCAGAGGTATGGTCTCCCCTTTCTCTTCGAGCCCCTAACTCAGTTGGTGACTGACTGTTTTTGGGTACAGTCTATGGTACCTCTGTATCGCGATTAATTGAGGCGTGGCAGCCGAGAGCGCCATATGATTTAAATACCCTTCGGCACAATATTTTGAATAAACTTATAATACCTCATATAGACTATAGACACAAGATGAAACGGAGTACTGATAGACTGGGCAACAATTTTGCGCTGAAATTCTCCATTTTCTATCTAGAATAAAATGATGAACCCCATGACTCCACCGCAAAGTCCGGAATCGACACCCTGCGACTAAGTAAATAATGGACTTTGAATGCAGAAAGCCGGCCGATGTAAACAGATTCGATTCACTCATGCCGTCATTATAACCTCCCTTAATCAATATGTAAGGGTATTTTGCTAGATACTGTACCAATGGACCAAATGTACCGTTTTTTGATTTGTTTTCCTTTTCTTTCTTGTGTGGCTGCCGCTAAAGAGCGACGGATGGAAAGGTCTCTAACCATCTGTAACTTGATAGCAAGATGCAGGACGGAGAGAAACTAAGACAGGTGGAATGCTCCCTGTCCTTCTTGGATAGCAACAGACAGTCGAGTTCGAAGGACATCTAAGCTGCTGTAGTCCGGCAACTTCAGATAATTTACACACGTCATAACGCTGGGGAGATAGTCATCGGGTGTGTATGGCGGTTCGCTGGGGCGACAAACAACGGTAAAGATCGGGGTGAGACTCTTAAAGCCTGTGGATGTAATACTTGGTCAGAATCCGTCTCGGCTTAAATGAAGCGGGGGCTTTCTTCCTACCTCCAATTGGGAGCTTGGGACTACCGGTGACAAATTGAAGGAAGTCCCGACGTTGCTGTGCATCCAGCTCACTCATCGTTTGGAGCAAATTCCTGACACTGCGACTATCCATGTTGAAGCCATGATCGGCTTTGATGGAATCCATGAGTGCTAGGACCAGCATGTTAGTGATCCGTATTTATACACGTAGACTAGGTGCACTTACTTTCAATAGACCAGTCCTCTTCTGCTCTTCCGAACAACATCACAAGTTCCGCAGGCGTGAAGGTCCGAAGAGCAGAATATGGGAAAACCTGCGAAAATCCCTCCCGGAAAGCTTCCACTTGACGCTGGACACCGCTACTCAAAGTCATATCCACGACCCGCTCAACGTACAAATCAACATTCTCGATGGTTACCGGAACATCAGAACCATCTTCGATCAACTCGATGGATGGGTAGCCGGGTAGGGTGAAGTCGAGGCTCAGATCTTCAACCTTAACACCGTCCACTTCAACATTTAGTAGGGCTTCCCTCTTCTGAGGCTCTGAAAGCCCCTTGTTCTCGACTGCTGCCTTCGCATTGGCGAAGCGCTTCAACAGAAGCAATGAATTTGCCAAGTCTTGATCGACTGCCTTTACCGTACCCAGCGATGGTGCCACGGAGAAAGAGCTATCAGCGATCCGGAAGAATGCAGGATTGAAGGAGACATCGATAATCCTGGAGTCGAGCATCGAGCGAGCAACAAATTTACCGAGGACCTTAAACAAATGCAACTGTTTCTTCCCGGGCTCCGAAGAAGCATACTGTTCGCTCATAGGGGCAGGGAACAGGCCTCGCTTGCCAAAAGCGAACTCTTCGGCATCGTTGCAATCGTTTTCTCGCCAGATCTTGAGCTTCTTCTTTGAGAACTCTTTTGAAACGGTGGAGTAGAATTCCAGAGTCGGGCCTAATCCAGTGCCAACTTCTTCAAAATATTCCACCTCCAGAACACTCGGCGAAGAGCATAGAGTTCCATGACTTTCATAGCAGACTCTAGGATACGACTTCTTGAGATACGCACCTTTTGTCGCTGGAGACGGCCTAGGAACGGTCGATCATCGCGTCGATGATCGTTACGACCATCGTCGCCGTTTTGCGAATTGTGCCATCTCATCATCGCCCGCGAGTAGCCAAAAGCAGTCGACTGGAGGAACAAATGGCGTGTCTCAAATGGGAACAGGAAAGGGAAGAGACGAGCAAGATCTTCGCTCCAGCTGGGAAGGCAACTGCTCGCTACGATCAAGGGTTCCTCTAACTGTCGGTTAAGCTTGGCCGTCAATTTAGTATTAATAAACTGCGCAAGGGCTTCAGGTTTAAGTGCGACCAGCTCCTTGCTTTCAGTGAGTATATCATCCAGCGTAGCATTCATTTCGTGCAGAAGGCGAAGTAGCTGGAGTATCGACGCAGTTGTTGTCTCTTGGCTGAGTGAGGGTGGCATCTCGGTGCTAGCGTTCTTCGCAGCGGACTCTGGTACACTAGTTGTGAGGGCAGTAGGCTCTGGTGGAGGGGGTCCCGGAACGCGCCTGAATTTAACGGTATGGACAGCAGACCACACGTGTCTTCCGCTGGGGTCTGAATCTTGCCGGTTGTGATGAACAGCACGGTATATTGTTGTGTCACCAGTAATCGGGTTGCCATCCACGCTAAACTCCAGATGCCAGTCCGAAGGGATAGAGGCCATTGCAGCGGCGTAGGAGGAGAAAGGACGGCCGGCCGTGGCAAGAGAGTTGTTTCCAGCGGGATTTTGAGCCACACTAGAGGCAGACGACGATGCTTTAGAAGCTGGGGTGGATTGAGACGGAGTGGCCACACGTGTTCCATCTTCCTTCCGAGCAGTTACCTTACCAGAGGAGGCTACCTCCATATTCACCGCCGTCGGGTCGGGAGCATTGTCCTCAGAGAGGTCATCGTCTAGATCATCCATAATAGCATTCAGTTCTCCGTCGTCGCCATCGTCATCTTCTTCTTCGTCCTCACTCAGGTGTCTCTCATCCGCGCACTCCAAAGGCTCATCGTCATGGGCAGGGTCTTCTGAAGTTTGCTGGTGTCGGCCAGAACGCCTGGATCTCGAACTACGTTCCTGACCTTCGATGGATGACTCCTGAGCATTTGGTTGCGAGTCTTCTGGATGGGAGGATCTGTCGTTGTTCGTGCTCTGTCGTGGCAAAGATGGGATATCGCTCCCAGGGAACTCGCCATTGCCGGTGAGCTGATCCCGAAGTCGAGCGGCATTAGCAATCTGCGAGAATAAAGATTCTCTGCTGCGGGATGGTTTTGGCCGATCTGACAGACTAATTCGTGGATGTAGGAAGTCGTCCAAGGCTTTGAACGTGGCAATGGCGTGGATTGACACCATTATGCTTCGATACGTGCGGGGGATATCAGAGTCTTCATCGGCCACCAACTTAAGCCTAAGCTGTTTTCCGAGCATATGTGCAGCATTACTCCGCGTGTTTTCCAAAGAATTGTGGCTGACAGTAAGCACTTCGAAATGCTCAGTCCGGCTGAGCAAGTCTTGCAACTTCTGGATCAGGACACTAAATGGAGTCGTAGCAGTGCTTTGGCTTTGGGCTTTCTCCGAGATAGTAGATCCCATGAATGCCTGTAGAAAAGCAGCACGAGCCTTGCGCATAGAGGAACTGTTAAAGTCACCAAACACATCCAGCAACACCTTGATGATACCCGAGTTCAGTAATTCTGAGCTAGTGATACTCTCGAGTGCGTCGCCGTCGAAGTAAGAGGCCAGTTTTTGGAAAAGCCCAAGGCCGTCCTCACGTGCGTCTGAACGATAACAGACTTCTAGATTCGAGGCGAGATTTTGTAATTCGGCCAAGACTTCTATAGCTTTCTCTCGCATATCTTTCCCATGGCCGGCTTCATAGAGATCAACAAACGTCCGAGCATCGCGGACGACGAGGTCTTTCATGGCGTTGTCTATCCTCGTGGAGAGCACTTGGCCGGATGCTGAAGAGCTATCCGATTCCGACATATCATCGTTCTCGTCCCGCTCATCCTCGTGCTCATCGTAGTCGTCATCATGAGTATCGTCGTCTCCCGGGCCATCGACATCTTCGGCTTCCCGACGCGAATCGCTCGAGGTGTCCATGGCAGCGGATGAATCAGAGGAAGGCTTGGTCTGCTTCTCATCCGACAGAGGTCCTTCCGCCAGCTTGAAAATTTCCGAGACGACACCTTCACGATGGAATTGGCACTGGTAGACATGTTCCAAGCGCTGAAAGAGAAGTTCAGAGCACCGCAGCGCTGACGAGACCAACGACGGATGGTCTTTCTGAGATAAAATTGCCGCCAGAAACGAGGCGTATGGCACAGATCGTAAAGCTTCCTCCACCAGACCGGCGTCTAAATGGTGCAACATCTTAAGCTGAGCGATGAGAACCTTTTGTCTGACCTCTAGGTTGACGGTGCTTGAGTAGGCGTCGGTCAATGTTGGCAGCAGGATCATAGCAAAGCGCTTGAGCTCGCCTTTGCATTCTCGCAGTAGAGAGCGTCTCTTTTCGGCTACCTCTTTCGCCTTCGGCGACTTCAAGCCAAGAGACGGATCGCTGTCGAGGGGGTTATTAAGCCATCCGTCGGTTTGTGGTACATGTCGGCCAGGAACGCCAGGGAGCATCTCGCAAATCACATTAAGCGTTTCAAGGACCTGCTCCCTAGGTCGGTGGATCAAGGCTTGCATCACCAGCACACTGTCCATCTTAACGGTGGTATCTTCCAGGTTTCCTGGCGGCGATACCCCAGTCAAGATTTGGTACAAAGTATCGACCACGTTCATCTTCAATAATTCTACAGACAGCCTGGGGCTGGCTTTGGATACTATCGCTAGAACGCGGAGGAACTGGGTGTGAATGTGCGGGCCAATTAGATTGGTGGTACCTGGCAACAGCAGACGGAGTATCGCCTTCAACATCGCGGGTTCGATAAGCTCCTCCAGTTTCTCCGGCTTATGCTTGAAACTCTCCACAATTCGGGAGACACACAAACAGCCTTGCTCCATCACCTTTGGGTCATTGCTGGACAGCACATTTAGGAGTGTGGGCATTACATCCCGCACCACAGGAAAGGAATCGTGTGGAAGGTTACGGCAGCAATTTGCTGCCGTGGTCACCGCCGTACGCTGTGTACTCGTCGGGAAGAAGTCGAGATATGTCAAACAAGCAGTCAAGCCCCCCTCCCGAACAATAGAGGCAGGAAAGTCTACAGATATTTTGGCCAAAGTCTGGGAATTTTTAGCATAGGTCTTAGAAGTCGAGTTAATAGGTCTAGCGGCGAACTTACGCTCAAGGCTTGTTCGGCCAGGTCAATAAACTGTATGTCCAGCAACTTCTGACACAAAATCGGCACAGCACCCCCGTAGACAACATTCGCTACGGAGCCGCGAAGTGCTTCCATCAAGTTCGCCAAGCAGCGACATGCGAGGAGCATGATTTCAGGGTTTTCTTCGCCGAATTCATTCGGCTGCATCAACGAGACCAATTCCTTTACGTAGGGATCGGGGGAGAACTGGCCGGAAAGATTATCCTCATTAGATACGAGTAAGAGATCTGAAAGCTCCTGTAAAGCGATTAATTGGATGGATGGATCATCCTTCGCTCTGAGATTGCACAGGATTTCTCGCAAGCGAGATGACATGCCCGTCATCATCCCAGACAGCGCACGTAGGGTGCTCTGAAGACCCAGGGGGCTGCGCGAGCCAAACAGGCTATTGTGAAAGAGATCTCCATCGTCATCATCAAGGCCCGAATGATTGGTTCCATCGTTGCTATCACTTGGTGGAGACGACTCTCGTTCCTCACTCCGTTCACGTCTTTCCAAGTCCTCATCCGCTTCTTTCATGGTGACATCTGGATTATTTCTCGATGAACGCTTTTTCTGTTGACGTCGAGGTGGAGGGGATTGGGCAGCTGAAAAGCGATCTGACGAAACCATGTGTTAACCGAGTCGCTTGGCCAGTGGGGAGGGGAATATGATTGCGGAAACGGCCTCGAGCATCGTCCGTGTAACCTTACCTTGTGACACCTTCCCATTTCTGCTCGATTTTCTTCTGGATGCCGGAGGTGACGGCTGGTTCCTCGAGGGCTCCTCCGTTGGATGTGAGGATGAACTAGAAACAACACGTCAGTCAGCAACAACCTCGAGGATCGCTGCGAGGCACCTCAAACTCACCCGGATTGGGACATAACTGTACGATTGCGGGTACCACGGCGGGGAGGAGCAGAGGCGGCCGCCGGTTGGGGGGAAGCTGCACGCCGCTGTTTCTTGGCTCTCCGTGGGGGCGACGGAGGATTCGGCTGTCCGGGGGCTTCCACAGACCGATCGCTTCGTGGGTGGGCTTTACGCTTCCGACTTGGGGCCGAACCAGCGGCGGGAATCGCAGGAGAGGGACCTGAGGTGGCGGGCGGAGGGGGTTCTGCAGCTAGTCTCGCGGCTGAGCGAGTAATCCTGGAGGACATGAGAAGCTGAGCACTCCCGAGTCACGGCGGAGATAGGAGGTTAAGTGAGGGGTAGGTATGGGAACGACAGGACAAGATAGGTGGAGAATAGAGGTTGGAGTAATGTAAAGAGAAGCAGTCTTTCCACACAATGACCGATGGACTCGGTGTATCAGGGGAAGATAGCAGTCAGGGTCGGGATGCAGAGCTCGACCTCGGGCTTTCTAGCAGATCCCAAAGTCATAGACTGTGCGGGGCCACGACGACGGAAGAGGCAGGATATGAAGCGTCACAAGGCGAAACAAACTGCGCAGAGAAAGGGAAGTAGATCTGGTATGTACCTGGCGGCAGTGGCGGGGGCTCCAGTGGATGAATCCTCAAGAGGGTCCTGGCGGTGAAGGTTGGGCCTTGTTCTGGCCATAAGTTGATGTTAACCAGAGCTGGACGAAGAGGGCTCGCTCGTCTGTCGACCGTTTAACCCGCCATCCGTTACTCAGAAGGTAGCTGACCGAGCGTGGGCAGGAAGGTGACACTGCGTATTTTCAGGTTGTCCGTTTTGGGGGGGAGGATATGGAAAGATAAGTCAGGGGACAACAGCTGGAAACGAGAGCCAAAAAGGAATAAAGATATATAAAGTAAAGGAGGGCAAGTATCCGAATGAATTAGTGATGAGTAACAGACAAAAACTGGGATAAAAGCAGTGGTCGTGAACGTCGTAGTGGCGATGAAGAAGGAAAGTGGAATGAAGAAGAGGAATGAATCAATTGGGGGGTTGAGAGTTGACGTGGTAGTGGTAAGCAGTGGTGACGCGGGCCTCAGGAAGCAACTCCGGAGAGCGTCAGGCGTCTAGAGTGCAGCCCCATCGGCCACCAATAAGTACTACTAGTACTTCCTACTAGTAGATATCACATTCAGAAGTATCACACAACTAGTCCTTCTTTCTTACTTTCTTTTCTTCCTTTTTAATTCGAATTTTTGTTTTTCCCCCTATTTATCTCTTTTGAAATCTTTATTCTCAACATAATGAGATCCAATTTTGCAACCTTTCGGGCCCAACCGTACCACTTCTTTAGTCATGAATGTATAGTGATCATATTTTGTAATTATTATCAATGGGTGACATCGACACTACTCGATCAAACCTAAGACGGACATCCATCCAACACCAACATGCCTCACCTGCATCCAATCAGTGCCAACACTCACCCCTGTTCCTAAGGGAATCTATTTTACTCAGATAGAAGACTGTACCAATGCTGTTCCGTCAGATTGTGGAACTCCAAATATTGTCAATATTTTGGCTAGACGTTATGCCCGGAACTGGTAAGGTCCGAACGGACTGGGTCATGTTAACACGTACACTTCCTCGGCCCTATGGCTCTACGTTGTGGAAGATATTGTTTCCTTTGGGTCTCGCTATAAGCATCAACTAGAGTAAATAACAAATGTGTTGGTATCCGTTGTCGAGATATACCACTGCAACCCCTCCCGCTGCGCAACTAGCCACTACCCTGTCCACAAGGTTGATTTGGAATAACAAAGTTACCGGCATGTAGCTGGGGGCTGAATCAGGTCATTCTATTAGCAAGTCTTAACGAACTAAATATTGGCAATTTCTCATCAGGATTGGTTCATCCATACAAGCGCCAGAAGATCATATTTAATGGCTAAACTTTTCGGTATCCTTGCCGAGCTGTCACTTCGGGCTAATCCGGTTTCTCGAAAATCAAACACAAGTTGCCGTCAGTTCAGGCGGGACCGAGACGCTTGAAACAACGTTCTGAAAGATTTAGCAGAGTGCCACTATGCGGAGGATATGTCGCTCTTATCATTCGCAGGGTGATTACGCTATACCACGAGATGAGGAGTGCATGTATGGGGATAGATGAGCGGGTTTTCCAAAACTCGAGAACTATGATATAATCATTGATCATACCGAGTAGTAAACAAACAATTTTTCTCAAATTTGCGAAGCCCTCGTGCGCATCTCGTGTCAGCTGAAGCACGCAAGGAATGTACTTGGTAGCAGTTACGGGAAGTATCCACCAATTCTATGCTTACAATGGTCACAGCATTCTATTCAGTGAAGCTGCAAGGGAAAGATGCAGTGTTCTGATCAGCTTATATTTTTGCATGGCTTTTTCATTGATAGGTAGAGGAGCGAAATGGCGACAGGGCAATACTCGGCTCGGTTAGAAGACCCTTGATGGATCGACAGTGGTTAGGTGAACCTATACTCGGAAAATGTATATATTCTCGACATAGTTGGAATGAGTTATTTTGCAAACAGCAAGTATGACAACATAGTACTCAGTACTTATGCCCCCCAATCGAGGGAATATCAGGGGATACATCATATTACATCCAATGATTAGGGTTTGCTATGAACAAAGCTGAGTTGGCGTATTGTGGATAAACTTGAACCCACTACAGTTGATTCACGTGCTCAACAAACAGAAGGAGATGTCCCATTTGTGGGCCAGAGAAATTCTGGAAGCAGTTGTGAAATTCGAGCAGTGAAAGGGAATAAATAATCTAGACCGGCCCCCGGTGAGAGAATTGGAAGTCCCCAGGTATTATTATTATTAATTCCAGAGATCCAGATACTTCTCTGTGACGATGTGCGTACAGTTGCCTAACCCTGCCTGGGCCGCTGGAGTGGTAAATACATACCAGTAAGTTCCCAGGTGGTACTCAGTCTACTTCCGATCAATACCAACCAGTACCGAACAGAGTTGGAGAAATGAGGTGATCAGTCGCCGAGGTACTGCTTTTCCCCTCAAGTCGATTGTTCCTCAACTCTTTTGCTTTCCCCCACCGGATACATACCAATACGGTAACGAATTCCTTTCCCCGCGCGGGTCTGACTAAACCGCCGGCAAATGATTTTCTAAAAGGCTTTTGGTTCAGTCGCCTTCCATCATCCATTCAAAAGTCCCTTCTTCTTCTCTCCCATCGCTTTCGAATCTTTGGTACTCCTTATCCACCTCTTCCTATATCGCACTACGTACAAACACCCATTTGAGCCCCCGGTTTTATCGCTCTGAGATCTCTACCCCAACCCGCAGCCATGACTGACATCACCGCTGGGGAGGATGTCCACCAGCCCCCCGCCCATATCCCTCCGGCACCGATGGAGGACTATCAGTTCCCCGAACTCCGCCTGAAGCGCAAGATGGATGACCCGGAGAAGACCCCTTTGCTACTGGTTGCTTGTGGTTCTTTCTCGCCCATTACTTACTTGCATCTGCGTATGTTCGAAATGGCAGCCGATTACGTCAAATTCAGCACGAACTTTGAACTCATCGGCGGATATCTCTCTCCGGTGTCGGATGCCTATCGCAAGGCCGGTTTGGCCGCTGCAGAGCATCGGTAAGAACATTGTTTCTACTATCAGTTTCACAAGCGTATCCCGCTCTATTTCATGTTTCGCCGGTTTATTTATACCCTAAAATAAATATCAAGCTGACCGGAACCTGTCGGATTCAGAATCGCTATGTGCCAACTTGCAGTGGACCAAACCTCCGACTGGTTAATGGTTGATACATGGGAGCCAATGCAGAAGGCATACCAACCAACTGCCGTCGTGCTCGATCATTTCGACCACGAGATCAACACTGTCCGAGAGGGAATTGAAGCCGCAGACGGCACACGGAAGCCCGTACGCATCGCTCTTCTGGCAGGAGCTGATCTGATCCATACCATGTCGACCCCGGGAGTGTGGAGTGAAAAGGATTTGGACCACATTCTTGGCAAATATGGTGTACGTACAATCTGCATACGTTGGATGAGCCATGGGCGCCGCTAACATTGCTCTCTAGTCTTTCATTGTTGAACGCAGTGGAACGGACATCGATGAAGCGCTTGCTGCACTGCAGCCCTGGAAGGACAATATCCATGTGATTCAACAGCTGATTCAGAACGATGTCAGCAGCACCAAGATTCGTCTTTTCCTCAGACGTGAGATGAGCGTCCGTTACTTAATCCCGGTGCCGGTCATCCGCTATATCGAACAGCACCGCCTGTACGGGGACGATAGCACGACAACCAACTCCACATCCGACAAAGGCAAGGGGAAACAGGAGTCTAGCAAGTCAGGTTGATACCCTCAGACCTTGTAATCGTGTTAGCCCCTTTAGCCACGCATAAGAGTACGGATCAGCCCCTTTCTGCTATCACGCGGCAGAGAGGGCCCAGCTGCTGAGAGCTTTGCGCGCTATGAGAAAATCCCTTGTTACTTATCTTTGGGGTTACAATGGCAGCCACAAGCGACCCGTTCTCCTGCCGACCACATTCATTGTGCAGAGGTGCTACTGTCCACCTCATCTCTTCTCCCTTGCACCGCAGTCCTTGGATACTTGGGGCACTCTTAGCCAGAACATTTTTTAGTTGTGGTGACTGGTGTCCGTGCCTGGCGAATCACTTGCCCACTTTCTACAGCTGCGGCCTGAACCAAAAAAGCCCCCTTAATCTGGCTGTACCCAGATTCTGTTCTCGGGAAAGTATCACGAATAATGTGCTGAATATACTATAGAGTTAATGTCTTCGTTGGCTTTGTTTTTTTTACCTTTGTTTCTTTTTTTTTTTTCTTTTTTTGGTTTTCTCTTTATACCCCCGACACGACTCCTGTACCGATAAATCCTTGATAGATCAGGGTAGATCTAGTTCTCAAGATAAATGAACACCATTACATTTATACAACTCATGAATATTTACTTGTAAAATGCCCCGAACAAAGAGATAGCTTAGCGTTCAAAAAAAGACCGAGAGCACAGCGATGACGCAATGCATGTCAGTGTCAGATTGCAGGCTATATATACCAGCATAATTTTCGGTACCAAGACCCAAAGAAATCTATAGCCACGTGTGTGTGTGGAAAAACGAGTAGATCTATATATAGTCCGAATAAACAAAGGACC